ATCCGCCATTTTGAATTTTTAAAATCTGACTTCAGATTCGTATTCTACGACCCCGAAAACCCCCAAGTAGCAAGTTTCGAGGTAAAATATTAAATTTTTAAAAATCGACCACCATTTTGGATCTGCCATTTTGAATTTTTAAAATCTGACTTCAGATTCGTATTCAGCGACCCCAAAAATGCTTAAAAGTGTATTTTTTGATTCAATTTAATTAATTTCGGAAATTTTATTCATGTTTGTATTTGTCAAATCGTGACATTGATGACTTATATCACATCTACAGGCACCGCCATATTGAATTTCTGAAATCGCCCATCTGCTTTCGAAAGTATAAGAGTGTACAAGTTTTTTCAGCCCTTAAACGATTTTTTTTATCAAGCCAATTTTTGGCTAGAGCTCTGTTTCGTTTGACGTGGAACGTCCCATGTATATATTAGATTGGTGGTGTTTTTTTATGTAAGATTGATAAAAAAAAGACTGTTAGTGTATATGTATTTTTAACATAATACAATCGTGTCTCCGTACCGTGCAGTTTTCTGAAATTTCCCTCTCTCCATGATTCCGTACCGTGCGGCTCTGAAATCACCCCTACTACACACCTTTTCAGGCTCGTCTTGAGAAGGTACTTTGCGGGTGCCACACAAGTAACTTCAATTTTATTGAAAAGGAATTTTTGTTTTATAAAATAATTTCACGTTTTTAAGAAATAGATCAATATATCTTTATTCTTTTAATTAACAAATAAATACAAATTTTTAATTATTTATATTTTTCGCTTTACGATCGGTCTTTGAAATACGGCACTAAAAGTTGATGACATCATTGCACGGTATGGAATCGCGCCGTACGGAGACACGACTGTATACACTAATCACAATATCGTAAAATATTTCTTTTATTTATATTTAAAAAACAATCAATAGTAATTAAAATTAAATTGTTATTGTAATAATATTCCCTATTTGTGTTCTTCTTTTATTTAAAAAATTATTATTTATTTTAAACAATTTTAAGGGTGAGAATTTTTTGTTATGTTTAATATTTAAAAAATTATTATTTTCAACAATTTATTCAACAAACAAAATTGTTTAGAACCTTCATTATATAAATATTAAAAATATCTTTAACTATATAAATTCTTCAAATTTTATTAACGCGTGACTCTTTTCATTCTCAAGACTTAAAGAATTTTAATGATCATAAACTTTATTATTTACAACCATCATCTAAATATTTTAGTTGCTTACAATAAATTTAATTTCTTTCTTTCATATATAGATACCATTAAAACATTTAGTTCATGCATTATAACGTAAAAAATATTTAAAAACATAATGTTTCATGATATTAAAAATTTTTAAACTGAATTAATGCTGTTAATTTTTTAATGAAATTCGTTTCTATTTCTTATATTTTAATGAGTAAATAATTTAATATATTTTTCAGAAGTACCACAACAACTGACTATAGTGATATTTTGTATATAATTTTTGTTCGACATATATATGCAAATAAATATGGAAAATGCAACGGGGGAAATTCGAGTGTGGAATCGACATGGATATAAAGTTTGTTCTCGTTGGCATGACATTTCGCTGTGACATTCAGCAAATGGTTGTAGAATGGCTGATGCAGCAAATCAAGAGCTTTCCTACCATTGAATTCCTAATTGACAGTCACTGTCCCATGTAACTTGGTTAATCCTCGAACGTGTTTCCTCAGTAAGCAGAAAAATATTTGTCGATTTCACTAAAAAATTACATTCTTCAAATTAAACGAAATCATATAATCCAATAATAACATATTTTGTCATATCGATGTATATAGATCTTTTTATATACTGAACACGTTATTAAATAAATCCATATGATATCAATGAAATTTGACATGAAATTATTACTGATTCCAAAAATCTGACAAAAACTAATTTCCATAATGAAGCTTGCAAAATATAAAGATAATTTGTGTGATGGTAATCATCAATCGTTAGCCTTATTTTGAGGTGGTATTTATCTAAGGGAATGTGACAGGATACCCCTGAGGTGCATCAGTTCGTTTGTAATCAAGTTAGCAATTTATATAAAACAGTGGAAGATCGTTATTATGAACAGAATGATTCCGTGTGTACTGTATGACATAAAATCAGTTATATAAAACACACTGCAGGGAGATAGAATAATGAAACCTCTTTTTGTATAAGCGCAAAGAAGCCTTTTCAAAATCTTTACATATGCATGGACCACTAAAGATACCATAGAAAAGTCCCTTCATCGATGAAAGTCTGCTTTTCGTATCGCGCGTTTCGACCCAACCAAAGAAAACAATTCGCGCGGTAATCTATTCGTCTTCACAGAACAATAAAGAGATCTTTCAAAGGATTCTTGAAAAATCATCCACATCTCCAAATTAGGAAAACAGTATCAGGTGTTACTGTCCTTAAATATTCTAAGTTTAAAAACATATTTCATGTGGTTCCTATTACAGAGAACATTTTATTTGATTTTAAATTATTGTTTTTTTTCTTCAAATCTAAATCAAAAATCTAAACATTTTAAAAGAATATTGTTTTCATTAAAATATTAAATAAAAAATTGCCTGCTAGAAACATTGTTATAATGTAAAAAGTGTAATTTCGCATAATATAAATAGTAAAGAAAAGAATACTTACTAATAAAATTTAGCCATGCCAATATATTAACATATATAGTTATAATATATTGTCTGCTCAAGTGGTTATCAGGGGAACCTTATGATTTCTCGCAAATTTAAAAATTAGAAATATACGTTGAAAATTTTCCATATTTCATTCAAACACCAATAAAACAAAAGTCGCACATTATCTTTTCGTGAGAACTTTCTTATTTTCTGCATTTCTTCTATATGTCACAACATAACCTTAAATTCCACGATACTGTAAACTTTGTTTTTCTTTTATAAAATCATCCAATCACACTAAGATTACTAATTTAATCTGTCACAATATACCTAATATCAAAATTAATGCAAAATTTAAGACAAAACTAGAAAAAGAAATTAATTTTAAAACTGAAAAAACAATGTTGACTTCAACAAACTTCTTGAGAAAGTGGAAAGTACAAATATGACCTGTAGATGGCACCAAATTCCTGCAAAACTGACAAGGACAAAAACGCACGTTAAAAAAATTCGCTTGTTAACTTCAAAGTTGTTTTATTCAAAATCTTATTCTCGGAAGTTAGTTATAGTAATAATGTTAGTGAAGAACACATGCTAAAAGCCTTTGAATTATATATATAACACAATGTATTTCCATGCCAAATTCGAAGTCCATCTGCAAATGCTGCAAATGCATCTTTGATTTTTTTGAAACTTTTTTTTTCTATTTTTAAACGTACTTTTCACAAAAAAAATCGAAATTTTTTTTCAAAAGATATTACTATCAAATTTGTAAGTTTTAAAGATAAAAAGTCGTGGGAAAACAATTTTTTCAATATTTTCGGAATTTTAAAAAATTTTTGAATTTTTAAAAAATATTTTTGGTTTTTTTAATACTACATATTTTTATGTATATTTTTGATGCTCTGATTACGAAATTATAGTGACAATACCCAGAAATTTGATTTTTATGGTGAAAACCATAAAAGAAGGCCTGAAAGTTATAGTTTTTTTTTCTTTTATTGGGTAAAATATGCAAAATTAAAAAAAAACTCTTAGACAAAAATCGTTTGCCCATTTATATCTCGAAAACGGCTTGCTAAAAAATAATGAAAAAAATCATGAAAGCTAGTCTCAATTAGTACTAAAAGAAAAAAAGTTTCAAAAAAATCGTAGATGTAATTGCAGATGGACTTTGAATGAATTTTAATGTTCGAATTAATTCGAATATTCGAATGAATTTTTTATGTTCGAAAATCTAAAAAATAATGAATTATAAAATTAGATAAATTATGTGCGGTTTTAGATAAAAAATATTGGATTAATTTTTCTCTATGAAACAGTGAAATAAAAATTATTATATATAACTAAGTAAAATTGAAAAAATTGAAGCGGATGTGCATAATAATGAATTCTCGAATGTATACCTATATGATAATTGTTTTCATTGTTTACGAGAAATAAGACATATAAAGTAAAATTATAGGGCGCAGGTCAATATTGACAAAATAGCACGTGGAATATTGTGAAATAAGAGCTTTTAATTTGTAAATAGAGATATTATTCCGATTACGTGAGCCATTAGAGACCGCTTATATAATGACCCGGATGCGAATATCTCCACCCATTCGTGTCGTATTCGATTCCAAAGAACCTCTCTGTAATTCCAAGGTAATTCTCGTTTCTTCAACCCCTTCTTATTCCCCTGCTGACGGTGAACTCGTGATCGAATTTCACAATCTTTCGAGCTTTGAACCCATGCCGATTTCTATAAGAGCCGTATGGATTAATGCGAATTATACAGATTTCAGAGTACAACATTTTTTTTTAATCTAAAATATTATATTTTATTACTATTTTTTTAATTTTATATCACTTTAATTTCTTTGATTTTAAACTGCAGTTCAGGCTAACATTTAAAATTACTTGATTTTTATATTTTTCTTATACTCAACAAAAATAACATAACGAATACAATAGAATTCATAGGGAATCTATTGTGTTCGATATGATTCCGGACTTAGTTAATAAATTGCCTTTTACAGCATTTAAAAACGAACGCCTGCCAGCAGGCTAACACTTATACTTTGTTGTATACAATTTTCTTAAGTAAAATGAGTAAGCGCTAGAAATTTAGGGACCAAAAATTACAATAATCGTTTTACAATTATAACACTATATAATAAATAATTAATTGTATTTATAAAAAATTAATAAAAATTGTAATTTAGAATTTTAAATGAATTCATGGGCTTATGTAGTACTTACCGTCGATAATACAGTTTACTACTTAATATTGGCAGTGGACGGTAATAACTACATACACTTTATTACGAAAAAAAGAGATGTCACTTTTTTTACTGTATTTTATAAAGTAAAAAATTTCATTTATCTTTTTTCGTCATCTAATTAATATAAAATATTAATTTTGTATTTATTCCATAGAATCTAAAAATAGAAAGAAAACGCCGGGAAAATAAAAATAAACCAACTTTTGCGTAATAAAGTTGATGATTGCGCAATACGTCACCCGGCATTGAAAGTCATTATCTAACCATTTTTATCGTTATTGTTAACTAAGTAGAAAAACAAGTAACTAATAATCAACTAACAGGTATAAATCGATTAAAGCACATATGAGTCAACAAGTCGTGAATCGCGCCATTTTTGCGTTTGGACGCACAACATTCACTTCGTTCGCAAGAGGAATTCACGTGTCTCCAAGAAACATGGTTATTGCTGTAAGTCTATTTATTATTACATGATTTTCATTGAATTTATAAAATGTAAATAGTATTAAGCGATTTAGTACATAAATTAACTTATTACAATTAACATTATCTTGATAAAGTTACATTTGCTGCTTTTTTGGTTAGGTTGGTGACAAAATCCCTTCGGTGGATTTGTACGAAAATTCGCCAGCAAATAAGGTGAATTTAACTAAAGAAGGATCCGGTAAAAAAATTATTGTTTTTGCCGTTCCTGGTGCATTTACTCCAGGTTGTTCTAAGGTGGGTAATATATTTTTATTAGTTATTAGTGATGATGTTTTCATTCAACATTGAACGCACTTTTTAATTAAGATTTTTACATTAAAAACATATTCTCGATAACTTTTTTTTATCATTTTTGTAATAAAAAAAATATATATAGAAAGAATTGTCTTCTATAAACAAATTAATTATAGCATTAAGAAATGAAAACACTGTACTTTTCAAATTTATGTCTATTAATAATTTATTTATGAGAATAAAAGTTTTATTTTTCAATTATTCATTTTCTATTTATAATGTGTAAATTATAAATAAGTTTTAAAATAATTACTTGAATTCCTTGCCTTAATTAATTTACATTTTACTGTATATCATTATAATTTTTAATTATTTATTTGTGAATAAATTGTCTTGTGCATAAGTGAACTTGAAGTTACTATGGTTAATTTAAGTTGGTGTTAGTGCGTATGCAGACTATACGCAATTAATTTTTTATACGAGTTTATATGTTCAAGGTAATGAAAATACAATAAACAGAAAAGAATTTCATTAGAAGTGAATATTTCTTTATCAGAAAAATTTGTTACAAAAAAAGTTTATTAATTCGCGGTTTCTTTGTTGATTGTATAAAAGAACATTTTTCTTATAATGTATTTAAATTGAAGAATATGTTAAAATATTAGTTTTTAAATTTCAGACACATTTACCCGGGTACATACAAAAAGCCAGCGAATTAAAATCTAAAGGCATCGCAGACATTTATTGCATTGGAGTAAATGACGCCTTTGTCATGGCTGCTTGGGGAAAAGATCAAGGGGCTGAAGGAAAGGTATTAAAAATAATATGCTTGTTTTAATTTAAAAATCAATAATTGATTCATTATTGTGCATTTAATTAACGCAATTAAAATCTTTTGTAGGTACGAATGCTTGCCGATCCATCGGCAGCTTTCACAGATGCTTTAGAATTGTCAGTGGATCTTCCACCACTCGGTGGAAAAAGAAGCAAACGATATTCAATGGTTGTTGAAGATGGTGTTGTAAAAGAATTAAATGTCGAGCCAGACAACACGGGTCTCAGTTGCTCCTTGGCTGACAAAATTAAAGCCTAATTTTTTCCATTTTCTACCAGGAAACTTTAACTCTATTTAATGAACATTTAAATCAATGGTTGTTTCTCAACCACTTTTCGTATAATAATTTCAAGTGATATTTCCTCAAGTATAAAAACTGATTTCTAATTCACAAATCTTTAAAAAAAAATTTTTTAAAGTAAATCAATAATTTTCAATAATACACTTTTCCACAATCTCAAGATTTCTTTAATTTCTCTTGTGTAGAATACTTTTTACTTGTTAGGTTTACAACATTCACTTTTTTTTTTAGTAAAATTACACTTTTGTAGGAATTTTTCAAATCTCGTTGAATTATTATCTCCACTGTAGTTTTACGAAAAATGCAAACTCAGAATTGTAAATTAGATATGTACTTTATTTTATATTTCTCAACGGAATAAAAATACTTTAGATAATAGAAAATACATTGTGAATGTAGGTATTTGTTTTTTAAAGTAATATAAAAAGCAGTTTTTTTTATTTTTAGAATACTTCTCTTTTATTTTTCTATATTGAAAAATATATATTTCCCTATTATTTTAAATATGTCATTGAAAATAAAATGTTTCGATTTTATATTAAACATTTTATTTCTTAATTTAAATTTTTACTAATTTTTATTCCTTCCAATATGTATATTTATTTGAAATAACTTTAATAAAATTGGAAAAATTTTTGTGAAGTGAAAATTATATTTTATTTAAAAAAACTTAATTTTTACTAAGTAACGAATAATATAATATTTTTGAATATAAATTATGCGCCGCGCTTCAAGTTGTTTTGTTAATTTTGGCCAATCAGAAACGAGGAATTGAGCAGGTGAGAGAAATCGAAACCTTTGTTGCGCATGACGGATGCGCTATGCTTATGACAACTGAGTCAACGAAGGAGGGAAAATAACCGTTGCATTTCCTGTAAATTCTTGAGTGAAAAAAACAATTTGCACCGAATGAATTTTGTGATTTTCTGAAAGAAAATTTCCTTCGACTGGTTTCGCAAGTGAGCAGAATTAAACGTAAGAATCTCTTTTTTTTCTGCATGATAGTATTCGAGCATTTAGAATATGCTTTTCACATTCAATTGTCTCTCATTAAACTATATTCTAAAAACAAAAAAGTTTATTCCTGAGGCCGAAAGCATAAACAAACGAATGCATGTTTTAACGTTTTTTCTTGTTCTCTGCAATTTCATTTTGCTGAGTTATTGGTGACATAAATTTTGGTAGATATTGATTTCTATGAATTGACATTTACCGAAAATAACATTCTAACCTTAAAAATGTTGTGAATGGAGAAATTTTGAGCGGGAGAAACACAGAGTTTCTGGAAATTGACGTTTCACAAAATATTTTTAGTTTCATCTATATAGATTTTGTGTTCTTGGTAGCTTATCAATTGATTTTTATATTTTTCATTCGGAAATATGTGCTTTATTGTGTTTTATTGATGTGTTAAAAATTAAATTAACAAGTGCTTTTTGATTAAAGGTATATACAAGTATGGGTATTCTGAATTAATGAAACATCTGCCGTTGTTAAATCGATCTTTTAAAGAATTATTCAATTATGATTATTGAAGAGTTGCAATCAAATTAAAAAAGTTTCAGAAAATTAAAATCGAATTTTAAGTGTTTTAAAAAACTAAATTTTTATTTAAGAATTTATAGAAATTGCAAATTCAATTTTAATAATATTTTTATATATAGGGAATGGATTTATTCTATTTTTATTGAAAGAAGGTATTTAAATATGAGATTAAACAACATTTAAAAAAAAACAAAATTGAATTCTCTGTTTACTGTCTATACATCTTAGCTGAAAATATTAAAATAAAAAAAATTGAAATTAACTTTATTAGAAAACTTTCCATCATTAAAAAATTGTTTTAAGTCTTTGACTTTTTATTTATTTATTCCATAATACGTACTAAACGCATTAGTACAATAAATAGCATTATAAATTATTATGTTATGAATTTTGATTTTAGATTGTTGCCGAAAAATGATATCTAGTGACAGTGGACAAGAGTCGCAGGAGTTGCTGTGCACTCCTCGGCGATCACAAAAACGTTTCTTTGGAAATTCTGGAAGTATCATAAAACGCAGCCTTTTCCAGCAGGAATATCACGGAAAAGAAAATGACATAAACTCAGGAGATGAATCAGATTTGGGACCGATGTCACCACTGGCTCTAACAAATGGGAGTCCTAGCAGCACAAGCAGTTCTCCAGGTCGTCAATTCGTCTCACCTCTAGCAACCCCCGAAGGTTCGCCTCAAATTCCTGTCATGAAAGCTACCTGGGATCGTCTCATACCCGGCTCGCTACTTTCCGAGAAGCGTATCTCTCCATTCAGCACACTAAAACATTTGACACGAAAAGCTCGATCATCACCAAGGCGAAAAATTTTCCCCGATTCCCCCAAGTCAACCGGCTCGCCGAGAAGATTCGTCAACTCTCCACTGTGTACCGACGAATTAATTCCCGAAACTCCTCTGAGAAGCGGAAGCGAGCAGAATGAAAATCACGTAGAGGAGACGCCACAGAAAGAGTTCACGGAACAGAGAATGATCACGCCTTTAGGCTCGGTGAACAAGGACGTTTCATTGCCACGTCTCCATCGTCGGAAGACTCTCGGCTCTTTTGACATTGACGAGATTTCTCCGGAGAAGACGGGAATATCAGCCAAGAGACACATAAACGATTCAAACGTCGTGGGATCAAAATTGCAAAAAACCGATGAGGCTTGTTCAATTCCAAAAGCAAGGGCATCACTCTTTCAAGACAATCAAAACACCAGCATGACTGTCGACACGAAATCATTCTACGGCAGTGGACGAAGGGATCGTCTCAATGCCTTTGGAATCGATTGGAAGCAATACGACGAGTCGAAAAAACGACGCAGTCTCCCGAATCCACGATCACACAGAAGATCGAGAAAAACTGAAATGAATTCCGGCGTTTCTCACGGTATAAAGAAGCCGAGGGCGAAAAAACACGTGTCACGAATAGAATCTTTCAAGAAGAAGGAAGAAATTATTTCTAATTGGAATAATCGCGCCGAGGCAAAAATTACAAAGGTGGAACCGGCAAAATCGATTCCGAAGACCAAGGGAGATTCAAACAAACAATTAAAAGTAAATTTCGATTTCTGGAATAAAGAACAGGAACCAAAGAAAACTGATGCTGTGATAGATCCCACGAAACGTTTCTTCAAGACTGTCCGACAGAAGAGAGCACGAGTCGCCTCCAAGTTGAACGATTCTCTGCCGGAAAAAAATATTCACAAAAAGCCAAAAATGGATATTTCACTTGACGCCAACGATTTGACCGTCGATGAACCGGATCTTGAAACGCGCAAGAAGGACGTTGATGACTTGTTGAAAATTCTCGAAGACGATTGGACCGATGACGAGTACGAACCAATGGAAACAGTGATTCGGAAGCAGTTTCAGGACTCTCCCAATTTTCAAGATGCAATGATGTCGCCTGCAAGTGAATTAAGTAACATGACGTCAATTATGAATATTGACGACAAAGACGAGGGAAAGAATTCCAAAATTTTGAGTCTGAAAAGTTATGGCAAGGCGAAATCCGCAACAAATCATTCGTCAATGAACATTGAAGATAACGAAACACAACAAGAATCGCTGATCGAAAATCTGGAAAAAACTGAAACTGTCAAGTATTATCCACTTTTCACGAAAGGATATTCGAGTCGAGAGAATATTTCCAGTCCGAAAAGTAAAAAAGCGACGCTCTGTCAGTTGACGAAAGCGGGAGGTGGATCCGATCAGTATCAAATTGATTGTGGTCAAAAGAAATTTGGCGCGACTCAGTGCAATGAATGTGGAATTGTTTATCAAATGGGTGATCCACAAGATGAGAATGCTCATTTGAATTATCACAATAGTACGAAAACACTGAAATTTCAAGGATGGAAGAACGAGAGAGTCATTTGGGATGATGAGGCAACGACGAGTCGAATTATTCTCATTGATCCCTATGACAATAAGCAACATTGGAAGAAGGTCACGGAAATCTTGAACGTCGTTGATGCTGATTTGGGCTTGGTGGATATGCAGTTGTCATATTATCGTGACAAGAAAGTTTACCTCTACGTTAGAGATAGAAATGTTTTGGGCGTGCTTGTTGTCGAATCGGTGAAAGAAGCTCATCGAATGATTCCAGAACTCATGGATTTGGATTGTTGCAGTTCAGAGAGCACACCAGTCAAATGTGGTGTTAACGTTGTATGGACGGCTTTAAGTCACCGTAGGAAGGGAATTGCCACCCAACTGCTTGACACTCTTAGGTAAATATTATTCACGATTAAAATCTTAAATCCTATATTTTCTGACAAAAGTTTTTATAAACGATAAAGATATCATTTTTACTTTGGACGGCACTATTAACATCAATTGTTCTGAATATTTTTTTATAAGATATTTTATGTATATGAAGTAAAATATCAATCATCCAAGTCAAAAGTCAGGTTAAAAATTTTGTCATGGCTGACTGATTTTTATCATTATAATTTATTATAATCAGTTTTATAAAATAACAAAATGATGTACCTATGTTGAAACTTATTTAAATTTATTTGTTTTTTTGTATAATGTCGTAATTTAGAAAACCTTGATATTTTTCTACCGAAAAAAATCTTGAATTTTAATTGCAAAATTTAATGAATATCCTGTGTAAATTAAATGTTTAAAAATAAATTAATTTTTTTTTAATTTGTAACAAATTTTTGATACTTTTTTTCGTGTTAATAAAAAAAGAAAAATTAAATAAAAAATGTAAATTAAAAAATTTTTTTTTCATTTTCAGGAGAAACTACTTTTATGGATATATAATGGCCATTGATGATGTCGCATTTTCAACACCGACACCAAGTGGAAAACTCTTTGCTTTGAAGTATACAAAAACAGAAAATTTCTTAGTGTACAGCTAAGCATAATTTTCGAAAATTATTTTTTATAGCGTTATTTTTATCACTTGTGAAATTTATTTTTGCTTTTCGAATTTTTTTCTATGATTCCTCCTCAATTTTTCAAACAAGTAAATTCAATGTATTGAATTATTAGCTAGTTAACAAAATCATTTCTAGTTTATGTATTTTTTATTCTAATTTTTAGTTATCCTTAAGGACATTTTCCAGAAATTGGTATGGAAAAAATTGATTTTTTCATAAAAATTTTCTTAAAATTTTAAAAAATGTTCCTTTATGTATTTATTAACTATGGCAAAAATTCTAGAATTTTAAGCCCTATTAAAGAACGTGATATTCAGATTGAAATTTTGAACTTTTAATATAATCTCATATAGAAGTTAAAATTTGAATCTGAAGAACTCTATGTATTTAGTATTGCATGGGGTTTTGAAATTTTTACCACAATTAATGGATTCAAATTTTCTGAAAATTTGGAGAAAGTCGATTTTTTCAATAATAGTAACTGGTAAACATTCTTAAAAACTTGAAAGAATATTCGATTCTTTGACAATGTCATATTGTCTTCAATTTTACAAAAAAAAGGGAAACAATTAATTTTCTCTTGCAATTTAGAAAATTTTAAGTATTCTAGACTAACAAAACAAAAAAGAAAAAGAAGATTATAACAAATACATTTGTTGCTATTTCATAAAGTTATGATAATTGTATAATCATCAGCTTGAATAAATTAAAGATTAATTTTTTAAATTTACTTTAGGATTAAATAATTTTTGTAAAATTATATTGTAACAGTACTAATGCAATATTTCTTAACTGTAGAAAAATTTCTCATAGAAATGACTTATTGTATTAAGAATTCATCAATATTCTTTTTATACAATTTTCATATAAATTATTTATTACATGCTACGTACGAAATAATTTTAAAAAAATTTTCACTTGAATTAAGAGTTTTTAATTTTAGAAAAAATAATTTTCTATCCAATTCTCATGTGTAATGAGTTGTTTTTTAATGCAATCATAATATAAAACTCAGAATACCTTTTGTAAATTTCTCTAGTTTTCTATAGAATAAAAAAATAAAAAGCAATTTTGTAGAAAAAGTAATCACATTTTTATTCCTCTAATATAAGACCTACAATACTTAAGATTTTGAGATAATTTCCTTGCTTAAAGCCCAAAAAAATCATTGTATAAAAAAGTGACAATTATTTTTACCTATCATTTTACACTTTTATACATTACGTCATAAAAAAATAATTTAGGATTTACATTAGAAGAATATTTTTTTAATTAAATGCAGAAAAAAAATAAGGGAACAAAACTAAACATGTCATTATTTGGAAGGACGTTCCTTTGTACCAGGCGTTTAATACTGATAATCGCCTCTAAAACGATAATAATCTAAAGAACAATAACAATATATAAAAAAAATCCGTAGGAAGTAAATGGTTTTAATACCCGATTTATAATTAAATTTTAGCATTCCTTTTTTGCTATTTATATATTTATCAGTCTCTTCGAATTAAAAATAAAATAATACGTGTCTCTTAAATTGACCGTATTTCTATTATTTGAAAGTCTCGTACTGTCTATGATAATATTGCACAGTTTTTCAAAAACCGTGGAATTCTCGTTTGTTTTATAATTCTTTTTTCATAACGTAAATTAAATTTTATAAGTTTTTATATATTATTATCTAATTTGAAGTTAGATTTTAATAATCGCTATTGCCCCATCTGTTTCCACCGCCTCTTCGTCCACCACGACCTCTGCCACCTCGGCCTCCTCTACCACCAGCATCCCTTCTATCTCGTTCTCTTTCTTGATTTTTCTTCTCTTCCCAGACACTGTATCTCTCCGCCATTTCATACAGGTCTTGAGGTACCTCCTGTTAAAAAAATATAAACAAATAAAAACAACGAATAACAATAATTACTGATTGATTAACACAAGTAATAACTAAACATATTAAAAAGAAAATAATAATAATTTTAATTCAAAAATAAAAAAATTGAATTTCAAAAGTTCAAATTATTAAAATTATAATGTAAAGACTCACTTGACAGGCTTTTTCCAAAAGATTAATTAGATCCTTAGCATGTGACCAGTCGCTTCGGGTCATTAAAGTTATACTTTCGCCGGTTCTTCCAGCTCGACCTGTACGACCAACACGATGGACATAATCTTCTATATCACGAGGAAAATCGTAGTTAACAACACAACTGTGAAAGAATTAAATTTTTATTAAATAGAACCACAAATTTTAGAAAAGCATAAAAAAAATGTCAACTAGGTAAGACTCAACGATTTTTATTTTCTGAAACAATGTGACGCTGTATTAAAGAATAGTTGCCGAAATTAGTTTTATGAAATTGATTCGAAAACAATGAGAAATATTATTAATAAACCATATGATTAAACTTTAACATTGATTATAATTAATAAAGTTTAAAAAATGAGTTATGACTCCAATTATTGGTAAGTTAGCGTTATTTTTCTATTATTTGATAGAATTTTTATTTAAACGAATTCTCATATTTAATAATTTTTTTTTTATGTCAAACTCTCTATTTAAGAAAATAAATTCTCATTTAATAGAATTTCGACTAAGCCAAAGCATGCGTTATTAATGTAAATAAAGAAATATATAGATACGTACGTAATGTCCTCAATGTCGATTCCTCGACTAGCAACGTCCGTTGCTAAAAGAATTCGAACCTCGCCAGTTCTCAAATCTTCAAGTGCCTGTTCCCGGTCACTTTGCTCCCGACCACCGTGAATACTTTGGACTGTTACACCACTGAGTGCTAAGTCACTTGAAATTGCGTCAACAGTTGTTTTCCTTCCGAAAAACACCATTACTTTTTCATCAGGTCCCATTTTAAGGAAAATGTCCTGCAACTGCAAAACAAAAATGTAAAATAATTTACTAAATTTATAATGATAATTAAAGTTTTGCAATAAATTAAAACTATATTTACAATACTCTGCTTTTCTTCTTCAGTGGTCATAACAACCGTTTGCGTAACAGTTTGCGTTGCTTCTAAGTCTAGAGTTCCTATACAAACTTGGACTGGATTCTTCATGTACGATTGTGCCAGTCTCCTTACTCCCGAAGGCCAAGTCGCGCTAGAAATGTTAGCGAAATGTGTTAAGTTACTTCAACTTTCATTATCAATTAGTTAAGGGGTCCTGTAAATTTTTGAAGCCTTAAATTGAAGATACTTTTAAGAAAAAAAATATACAATTTTAAAGTGCGCCCTCTATAGAAAGAAAATATGAATTTTATTTAAGATTATAACTTAATTTTTTGATTGTCCTAGATATACATAAACACATGTTAAAAGATTTAACTTATTATGTTTTGAAAGTTGAGAAAAAAATTTTTAAAAAACTTTCAATTTAAGGCTTCAAAAATTCACAAGATCCCCTACATACTAATAATTTTAGAGATACCACAAAATTTACCTAGTCATGACAGTTTGTCTGTCCGGCCTTACATCTAGTAAAGTTTTTCGAATTTGAGGTTCGAAGCCCATATCCAACATGCGATCAGCTTCATCAAGAATCAGGTACGTTACGGACTCAACTTTTAGGATATCAGCTTGAACTAAATCATTTAATCTTCCCGGAGTTGCAATAACGATTTGAACACCTCCCGAAACCATGTTAATTTGGTCTTTTCTGCTGCCCCCTCCATACACACAAACCCTGTTATATAAAACAATTTTTTACAAATTTAATATTATTATTATTTTTAGAGAGATTTTAACGGTATAAAACATTTTTGATTTTTTTTACCTAAAACAATATTTTAACAAAGTTACAAAACAACTTACGCTTTAATTCCTCGATATGAATATTTGCCGACTTCTTTCTCGATCTGTTGAGCTAATTCTCGAGTCGGTGCCAAAACAAGAACGTTTGGTCCTGGTCTTTCATTCCGTGGAGTATTCTGGCCATCGATGTGTATTAAAGCCGGTAGTAAGAAGGCAAGAGTTTTTCCTGAAAACAAAAAAAAAAAATTTATGTAACAAGTGGGAATAAAGTTCAAGATTCTTTCCAGTTTTTAAAAAAAAATTTCAAGTTTTTCTAAATTAACATTTTATTACAAAAGATGAATAAATTAAAATAAGTAGGTATTAAAAAAAATATTCATTTCAGTGTATATCGTGTTCAAAGTTATATGAAAATAAAAATATTCCACCTATTAAATTGCCGCAAAAATTGTTTTTAAAAATTCAAAAATTTCTCTAAAATATAGAAAAAAGAAAAAAATTTTAGGTCTAGAAAAACCATATTATTTAAAAAACAAATTGCTCTATATGTATAACAATCTTCTTCAAAAAATTTCGAAAATGTTTATAAAAGTCGAAAGACAGGAAATTCTCCCAATTTTTATTTAAACATAAATTACAAAAAAATTTTAATTTTTAAATTAATTAAAGACACTCCAGCAATAATAAATTATATTAATCTATAAAAAGGCAGTAAATGTAATTATTTAATACATATTGTATATATATATGGTGCGTTAACTTTTTATTGGATATTTTAAGAGCTTAGTTGCAGTTATTAAAATTTTTAATGTATTTTTTGTTCAAAAATAAAATGCAATAATTTCATTAAGTTTTATAATTTATTAGAATAGAAATTTATATTTTTCTGACTTTAATTAAAGAGATACATAAACGATTTTTTCAATATCGTTTGAATTAATAAAAAATTTTATTTTCAACATAAATAACAAAATTGGTTAAAAATTGTATTTAAAACTAAAAAGTGTTCAGAAACTATTCTTTTTTAAATAAATCTTTCTTTCTTTTTAAGGAAATTCAAAAAAGTAAAAAATTGAAGTTAAAATTTAAAGAAATAGATCAAATAATTAAAAAATACGATCCATAACAGACGAAAAATCTCTAAATCAATGTAATTGAATATAAAAAAATTATAAAAAGTGAAAATTATTGAAATTATTTTTGCTTATAATTAAAAATATTCTGTTTTTAATTTAAAAGAATAATATAAATATTGGTTATGTTCAATTTATATATATATTTTTTTAATTACGTTCAAAATAAAATTGTATTGTAATTTGTTCAAAATATAATTGAGAGAATGCCCCAATTTCAATTAATTTAAAAATGATAATCCTAATTAAATTGTAGATATTGAAAAAATAAAAATTTTATGATTATATAATTTACTTAATAATTCAAATAAATTAACAATGTAAAACACTTTTCACGTGCGCGTATAATTTACTACATATATTATGGAATATTTGAAATTTACCTGTTCCTGTTTGGGCTATTCCAATTAAATCCATGCCACTCATAAGAACTGGCCACGATTGAGCTTGAATTGGACTGGGTTTCTCAAAACCTTGCTTGTAAATTTCTTCCAAAATATCTGGGTATTCCTAGAAAAAAGATAAGAAAAATATTTTCATTTTTCACTTGCACATTCAAGATTCATTTAAAATTCAAAAATGAAAAATCTGTTTTTAAAAATTCTATGAATTGAAAAAACTTTTGTTACTCACTTGAAAAGCCTGTTCGAAAGTAGTTACAGGATTTGGAACTTTTAAACCCTCTACTTCAACATCGTTATCAAACATAAGTTTAGCCTCAATATTGTTATTTGATCTCCTAAACTCCTCAACTTCTTCTTTTGTCATGTTTGCGACTTTCGAATCCTCTTTGTAAAAATATTTTTTCAAAGGCGGTAATTTTGCCCACCTCTCTTTTTGCGCTTTTTCCTAGAGAAAAAAATAAATCACAATTAAAATGTTCATTTCATTGAATTTGAAACATAAAATTAGAATTTATATATTAACTTCTTACAAAGAGTTCATTAGCTTTCGACCAGTCGAAAGTTGAGAAATCAATTTCGTTCGAGTCCTGCTGCGAACTTTGGTTTTTTTCAGGTGATTTTGATCTTTGGTTTTGTTGTTGCGAACTTTGATAATTATCCGAATCGGGCCGTCTTGAATTCTGATAATTATCGGAATCAAATCGTTTCGTATTGTAATTGTTTCGAGATTGATTCGATTGATAACGATCGCCAGAATTTCTTTCATAACTTTTTGATGAATAATTTGATCCACGCTGAGGAGAATGATTTGATGATCTGAATTGTGGCGATTTCGATGATGATCGTGACCTGGGTCTTCGTGATGGTTGATTGTAACTTCTTTGAGCACGACCTTGAGGAGGGTCCATTCCAGTGTTCATGAGATCATTAATAAGTTGCTTTGCATTTTGTTGTGCATCTACGTCGCCGGTCAATGTCACAGATACTGTTTCGCTGGACCTGTCACTGTCAATCTGAAATTCAAAACTTTATTTCTAATATTTTTTTCTTAAGAAATAAAAAAAACTAACAATATGTATCTAATAAAGACTTGAATGGATTAAAATTTTTTTTTCACATTTTTTTTACCGAAATTCGACATCCGCTTTGACTTTGAAGATCTTTTACAGTAGAACCGCCTCTGCCAATAAGCTTTCCAATTCTGAATGTTTGGATTTGTAAAATAAGGTCATCTGTGTCGTCTGATTTATTAGACTGCTTCGAATGACTGAAATTACTTTCAGAATTATATTGCGAGTTGCGATCGTACTGTTGTCTATTTGAATTGTCACTTTGATTGTAATTCCTTGACTGATTTTGACGACCGTAATTGCTATTATCATTGTCTCGTCTTCCCCGTCCCTGGAATCGACCTCCTTGATCTCTTCTGTCATTATAACGAGATTGATTTGTGAATTCTCGTGAATAAGTTCGGCTTTTCTTCGAATTATCGCCGTCGTTGTCCCAACTTTCAGACATTCTTAAAATCACAAATAAATCTATTGTTTTATTTTAGTTATTAAAAATTACATTGTAACTAAAAGTAATTTTTCTTAATAAATCAATTATCGATTAATTATCGTAATTAATATAATATAATATAATATAATCAATTTTGGATGAATACAAGAGTGTGAATAAATTTCCAAGGACAACTAAAGACAACAAAATAATTTCACTGATAAGAATTCCGAGAAATTATATCAAGCATCTCTTTGTTTAAGCATTGTTAGATTATTGTCTAATAAAGTAGTTGAATTAAAATATTAAATAATATGGAAATATCAGAATATTTACAATGAGAAATTTTCATGACAATTTTAAAACAAAAATGCAACAAAATCAATAACTAACTTGCGCTTCAGTTTTGTAGGTTAAGTGTTGCACAAATAAAATCAAAGTTTATTATTTCTCCCGACTGATTCAAAATTTATTTATGCAAACTAATTAAATCCGTTCGTGAATAAAAATTGTAACAGTTCAAGAATTAACGTGATCACGATGTTGACTGATCGAAATGTAGCAATTCAACACAATTTACAAATGGCCGTTGCACGCTTCAAAAATTTACAATACATTCCTGAAAAAAAAATTTAAACAAATAAATGTATTGAATAAAATAGCATACATGTACGTTATAGAAAATTATTCAAATAATTAAAAAAAAAAAATTATATATATAATAAAGAAAAATCATAACACGAGTTCATTTAAGATAAAGCCGGTATCGTAAGTTTTATCTATAAATACAAAAAAAATTAATTTTTAATTGCTTACCTTATTTATTTTTCGAAATCGGGTTTGAAACAAAATAAATATTTTTTGGTTTTAAACAAAAAGACTTTAAAACTAATTTTCACTTGAGGTATATTAAGTTACTTTCTGTTTCACTGCATCGTGTGTATCTCTCATAAAAATGGCGGCTCCAGGCAGCACGCAGCAGTCGGTAATCGCAATATCGATTCTCGAAGATGTTGAATATCGAAATTTAAATATTTTTAAAATTAAAAATTATCAAATCTGAAAGAAGGTTAATAATATTTTTAATTCTTATTTAATCTCTTTCAAGTAGGTAACTACTTTATTCTTTAATGAAAACTACTATAATTTTAAACATATTTTCTGTAAAATTCTAACTCTCGATGAGTCAATAATTGAAGATTAAATGTTCATTTTAATTTTCTAAAAACGACATAGATTTTTACTATTTCCTTTTCTTAATAAATTAATATGTTCATGAATTTCAAGTCTAATATTTACAAAAAGTTTTGTTTACATTTTATTGAAAAAATCTTTTCTATTAATCGGAAAATTTAAGAATGAAAAAAAGAGCTGTATATAGATGGCAGAAATTTTTTTTTAAAGTGAAATGGGATAATTCTTTATTATAAAAATAAAATCATTATAAATTAAAAAATTTTTACAAGCTGAAATTTTATAAAGTACCTACATACAGGGTGTTCCAAAAGTATGGAAACTTGTAAATATCTCAAAATAACGAATTTTCGTAAAAAATGTTCAATTCAAAAGTTGTTCCAAACAAAAAGATCTACATTTTTGAAACTAAAAAATTGGGCCCTACAATAACCTACAATGAAAAAAGTGGTTTTCTTAAATGAGACCACTAATTTTGAATATCAAATTCGTAATCGTAGTTGTCTAAAATAAAACCCACTAATTTTTAGTATCCATTTCGTAATCGTCATGAAATTCTGGATTTAGTTTTGTAGTACAAATGCCAAATATTGTTGACAAACAAATAAATTTAAAAAATTGTATCTTTGGGGGTTTTTGGGTAAAATGTAAACAGAACAAAATAATTAGTTAATAATTAAATATTTTTCTCCAAGTAATCTAAAGATGTTAAAAATCAGGGAAAGGAAGAAGCTTTTGCTAATTTAAGGATTTCAAAAATTTATGAACTGATTTTATAAATATAGATGTTACATAATTTACAATAATATTTAACTTCAATCAGACATTATACTTAAATAAAATTATAAAACATTATTGTTTTCATGATAAAAGTTATTGTAAAATTATGTCGCACAATTCTTTAACATAACCACTTGATAATTTCGCAAAATTCAAATGGCAAATAATTCCATGATTGGAATATATTCCTTAATATTAAATTACAAACAAATAATAAAAAATATTGCAATAAATGCTATAAAGTTTAAGTTCAGTTAATTGTGATGTGATTTTTTTAAAACAAAATGTTTGTCAGTATCGTCTTGTTTCACAAATCTCATCATTAAAATTGATCACTGTCATTGGTTGTCAGAAAAATATACTTGTTAATTTAAAAAGAATAATCGATCCTGATATTAATAATTAATAGACAAACAATCGTGATACGGAAGAAACATGATAATTTACCGTAATTTTAGTGAACATTATTTTCTAAAATTAAAATAATAATTTTTAATAAATTTGTGTGTTCAGTAATATTTCAAGTCATTGATCTCTTCGCATAATTAGTTATAATTACTTTCTTACGGGGGTAAAACTTAAAGAGAATTATTGAGATCAACCCGGGGTCTTTTACAACGATTGTTTGTTCCATCTTCTTGTAGATCAGCGTTAACTGATAAAAGTTCTCGTTTTCTTCCTGCGTTCTGAAATAATTTCAATTTCATTAATTTTTAAACAGTAAATAATCAAAAATATTAATTGTTCTCAACATATATTCATCTCAATTTAATTTTTAGAAAAGTTAAAATAAATCAATTTAAAATACATTTTTATTACTAATTTAATCTCGAATTTAATACATGATTGGCATAATTTTAAATAAAATACCTTTTTATCCCATTGTTGGTGTAAATACCTCAAGAGAATGGTAGTTTTTTCGGTAACTATAACTAAAATGAAGTATGATATTAGCGAATGAAATATTTATATGTGTCATCTTTCAAATGAAGTGGAGAAAAGTCTAATTAATAAATAAATTAAATTTACTTAATTTTCATGACAAAACAAAAATAGATGTACTAAAAAATAGTCTTACATCCATTTTTATTATTCATAAATTTTAATAATGAAAGTAACATCTTACCTTGTTCTGAAGGATAATCCTTAGTTGGCAAATAAACAGAGGGTCTTTTGACACATGTTCGATTATTACTGTCAGTGTGAAAATTTGCAAAATTGTTTTCGTCGTGCGAAGGTAGTCCTTTCAGAAATTCAGCTACAGACTGAAATAAAACCGTATATGAAAAAATAAATTTTTTTTTAACTTTTCCTACAGTGAAAAAGTACAATAAAATAGAAGATAATATAGAAGAAACAATGAAAATTATAATGTAAAACAAAGAAAAAAACAAAACAATGAAATGAAAAAATTTGATTACTTTTGTGGTTTACCACAAAAGTAATAAAATTGTTTACAAACAATAGCACACACGCATATACAGTAAAAAAGCAAAATAATACGTAAAATGTAAGGAAAATATAATAACCAATAAACCAAGATTAAACACATTTGATAAAGAAAAATAAGTTTTCTGTATCAATTATTCAGAGCTTCTTTCCATATTTTTCAATTTTGACATTTACAATTTTTTAACAAATTCACTTGACAAGTAAAATTGAATGAAACAAAAATCGAAATTCATGAAATAAGTAATAAATTTCATTTTTAGGGAAAGTAATTTTTCGTTTAATATGAACAAAAAAATTTTAATTAAATGTCAAAAAAAGTGTCAAGTTAACTTACCATTATGTTAAAATGATGTTAAGGACTTACAATCCGATTCAGCATGGCGTATTCGACTAAATTTCTACATTACTCGTTGTCGTTCTGCGCATGAGCTTAGTCTAGTATACTAAACTTAGGATTGGTCCATTTTTTATTTGTTTCACCAATAATAATGCAGATTAGTGTGACATCTAATTTGTAGTTCAGAAGTCGTAATGACAAATTAAACAGTAAAGTATTATTTATTGGATATGTAGATTTCTACTTTTACCGAATATGGTAAAAACATTTTCTGTAAAATTGAATTGCAAATTTAAATGTATGAAATTGAAACGAACAAACATTATTTATTTTGTATAATCTTTGATTTAGTTTAGATAAAATAGAAATTTTTACTAAAAGACGAAAGTAAATTATATCCCGTAATACATCTAAGTATTTTTTTCATTAACAGTTAACAATTTGAGGCTTTGATAAAAGTGAATAGGAGGCAACTGAGAAAAAAGCCACAAAAATTTTTTTTTTATTATGTTAAAGTATACATAAAAACAAGTATACAGGTTAGATTTTTAAGTTAGTGTAATGCGTGGTTGCCATGTTATCAGGGGTGAGCATTAAACGCAAATTAGTGAGTTTATTCTGCATTACATATTATTTTATCTGTAGCTCGTACGTACTTTACTGTCACAAAATATAATTTGGAGGATAAAAAGATTTTAAAAAATTTAGGGTAGTTTTGAAAAAATTTGGAGGGGGAAATTAATCTGGGTAAAAGTTGTTGCCATTTGAAAATAATACTTAAAAAAAAAAAAAAAATGTAGCCCCTGATAAATGTCAACCACGCATTACACAGACCTAAAAACGTACCCTATACATACTTGATTTTTATATATGTTATTTTATATATACATATTTAGAGTTGCTACGGTTTCAAAATTTCAAAATTCCCTGACATTTCCAGGTTCTCCAGACCATTTTTCTTAAAATTTCCTGACCAAACATAAAATTTTTGTAATAAAGCTTTAGCTTATTTTTAGAGGTGTGCAAAAAGCTCGAATGTCGAGCCGAGTTGAGTCCGAGCTTGACTCGAGGTATTATCGAATTTTTCGAGCACTCGAAGTTTTCGAGTTCTCGAAAATATTTGCATACTAAACGATCAATTTTTATTGTGCTGCAAAAACTACTAAATTAATCAACAGAAGATAAATTAAATCTTTAGGAAATCTTAGGATAGTTTCGGTGCTGTGCTCTCTAAATTTGAATTAGCTAAAATTTCACTCACAGTAAACTTGGTTGTATCTTCTTCTATTGCAACGTTTTGATGCACATAACCGTAAGTTATATCAAAAAGAGATCGTTTTGTGTATCATTTTTAGAAATGATACACGAAACGGTCTCATTTTTTGATGCAAAAAATTGAATCAATTTATATCAATCATGGCCGAATTGAATCGACTCAAAATTAAAGGAATTTTTTTCAGATATTTTGGTAATAGTACAATTGCGGAGACCATTTCACTATTTAATTTGAAAATGAAAATAACAGAAAATCAAAGACAATGTGCAATTCGATAATTAAAAAGTGACAGCTTATAAACATAACCTAAAATGCATGAGAAAAAATTTGTCGATAAAATCAATATAGCCGAGCTTTTTGGAAGGTAGATGGCAGTTTTGCTTTTTATAAAAACGATTCAGAAAAAATTTAAAGAAAGAAAATAGATAAGTGCTGCCATCTACCTTCTAAAAAGCTCGGCTATATTGATTTTATCGACAAATTTTTTCTCATGCATTTTAGGTTATGTTTATAAGCTGTCACTTTTTAATTATCGAATTGCACATTGTCTTTGATTTTCTGTTATTTTCATTTTCAAATTAAATAGTGAAATGGTCTCCGCAATTGTACTATTACCAAAATATCTGAAAAAAATTCCTTTAATTTTGAGTCGATTCAATTCGGCCATGATTGATATAAATTGATTAAATTTTTTGCATCAAAAAATGAGACCGTTTCGTGTAACCTGTAACACACATTAAAAATTCAATTGAGATTCTTTTCATAAGTGTTTATTCTAGACAATAAACATTATACAAATTTCATATTTCTACCCTTTGTTTTTTTATACAAGGACAAATTAACCCAAAAGCACGTCGTTTTTGCAATTTTTTGACAAAAATGTGTAAAAATATTTTTTTTAAATCGTTTTTTAAGTTTATTGTTTATAATAAATTCTTATGAAAAGAATCCAGTTTTAATTTTCAATTTAAGTGTTACAGGTTTTTCTAAATGTTTTGCACTAAAAAAGGTACTTTTTGGAAGACAGCACCTACAGTTGCGAAATTAAACTAAATGTATTCAAAAAAATGTTTTTTTAATTCTCTCCACGAGGAGGAATTTGCGTTATTACACGAGTATTATCTAACTGAGTACCCACACAGCACCCAAAATTCCCTGAAACTTGACAGAACCTCACATGGCGAGATTAGTAAACTTTAGTGGCAAGGTTCATACAAGTTTGTGTCGATGTTTAAATGTCCACATGAGAAGAATATTTACACGAAACTTTGAGGAAATATTACACATAAATATTCATGTGCAATGTTCAGTCACTGTTGTGTCAATATTGAAATTACATTTTCGCCTAGTTATAAAAATTTCATTTACTAATATAATAAGTATAGGTGAATATTGACACAACATTGACTGAACATTGCACGTGAATATTTATGTGTAATATTTTCTCAAAGTTTCGTGTGAATATTCTTTTCATGTGGACATTCAAACATTGACACAAACTTGTATGAACCTTGCCGCTGAAGTTTCCTAACCTTGCCGTGTGAGGCTCTGTCAAGTTTCAGGAAATTTTGGGTGCTGTGTGGGTAAATTCCCCCTCGTCCCTCCATGTAATATGTAACAATGTCCAAATAGAATGTTTGCAATAACTTAAATACTTTTTTTACAATTAAAGTTTAAGAAAGTTTGTTTTTTGTCAATCACGTAAATCAGAAAGTCCTCTTAATTTTGCACAGTTTTTAAAGTAAAATAATATACCGGGTGTTTAAAAAGTATGGAAACTTGCAAATATCTCGAAAAGTACGCATTTTCGTGAAAAAGGTTCAACACAAAAATTGTTCCCCAACAAAAAGATCCACATTTTTGAACACAAAAACATTGGGCCCGGGATCCAACAGTGAAAAAGAAGTAACACGAAAATGCTTACTTTTCGAGATATTTGCAAGTTTCCATACTTTTTGAACACCCTGTAGCATAGTTAGAAGAAAAATTCTTCTTTTAATTTAAATTGTTCAAAAAAAATCATAATTTTTTTTTCTATATAAAAGTAAATTCCGAGATGAGCCTTTTTCAAAATTCACGATTCAATTATAAATGTATATATTAAATAAATACCTCATATTTCGCTTATTCTTTGATAAAGATTTTACTTTTATGATTAAAATACCAATGAAATTGGTTCTACTAAATATACATATAGACAGATTGAAATGAATAGCATAAGATAGCAAATTATCAAATTAGGATCCGACAAAAACTTGTTTTACTCCCCCACACTTTGATTTTTTTCAACTATATTATATCGCTCTCCACTCACATTAGTAACACGTATGTCTTATAAATGTTTAATGTCTCCAGGTCAATACACATAGGTAACTGTAACACTAACGTGGCTTGTTTCTTTTACCCGCGTGTACTTCACTTTGGACACGTGGTAAAAGCGTCTTTCACATTTTTCCTGCTTAGTTTTTCATTTCCAAAACGACAGGGAGGCGCTAAAGCTTCGCTTATCATTCTAAGTGCAAACTATCTATACATTCGATTATGTAAAAAAACAGATTAGATAATATATATAGGTATATTTACTTATATTAGAACATGCATTATTTTCTGTTATTACGATTAAGCTTTATTTATTAATCAAAAATTAACAAGATTTCAATTATTCTGTCAATTAATTTGGTACAGGTTGTTCTTAAAGACATATATTAGAAATATAAAACAAACTTTTTTTAATCAAACAAATATACGAAATATAGTTAAATCAATATTAGAATTTCTTTATAATAAGAAATTTTCATTGATTTAAAGAAATTTAATTAAATATACATTACCCAGGAGATTAATAGAAAATACCTTTTTCCCCTATGAGAACGGGAAGTAAAATATCGATAAGCTGAAAATGATATATAGGTATCTTATCAAAAATGTATTTTTGACTTTTTGAAAAAATGGTCCCAAAAAAAATTCTGTGGATATTTTTGGAAATCCTTGTGTCCGATTTTTGGTCTTAGTAAGTAGAATTAGCATACAAAATTTCAGGGCGATCCGCCAACATTTGTTTGAGATACTTTGTACACAAGAAACGGTGCCATACACACACATACATGCGGACATTTGTTCCTCATGTCGAAATATAACTATGTATATTAATTAAAAATTTATTTATAATTTATTTTAGGAAGTTCGAAAATTGTTATCACTATAAAGCTAACTACGAGGAAGCAAAATTATTTCATTGAAATAATCCATAACTTGACATAATAAATGTTTATGCACTTTTATCAATAAAAGAATAATATCAATAATAAAGAAGTAACTGATTATTTGGATTAAACATAAATATTTCCTAGTGTACGTAAATCATTAAGTAATTAAATTAAATGTATTGTGCGATTGTGAATTATATGCACTCTAATGCAGAAGAGGGTGGATTGGGGTGGAAATACAACACGCTATTAAAACACATAACATGAAGTATAACTACAACTACAGGTAAAAGTAGTAGGTTAGGCAGAACGATAGAAGTAAATCGACAGAATTTATACTTTAGTTGTGTTATAGTCATCAAATGGTTAAGTTATCGCGTGTGTGAATTTGTTTTTTTGTGTCATTTTTTTATGTTCATAAAATCAAGTGTAATGATCAAAATTCAGTGACAATAAAAATGCCATTTTCACAGATATGGAATTTTTCTCTCGTGACATAGTTGGTAAGTGAGGATATTTAATTTCTGATTCTTTATCACACTATAACATTTATGCACGGAGAAAAAAGATTTCTTTTATAAAGTAACTTTTACTACTTTCAGAGTAAAACTGGACCAACTCGAAGTTTCTGCGCATCTCTGGCAATTTTTACTCCAAAAATAGTAAAATTT